ATGGTGTGATAAAAAATCTAGTCAATGTTACGCACTTGTTCTTTTGAGACATCTGTCAACTGCATGGTCTTCCTTTTTCTATAGTTTCTCGTCAGGGCATTCGCTTTCTCGATCACTTTTGGAGCAGGTTGCTTTAACAATGATTACCATCCATAGACTAATGGTCCAACGGAGGTATTTAATTTCCCCCTTGGTAACTTTTTGCATTCTTTTGTCAGGGAGCAGGTGAAGTTGTGGGATCAAAAGCTTTTCCAAGCTAATTACACTCACAATTAGACTATCAACCTTAGCATAGGTTTTGCTCCTTTTGTTGTTGTTTATAGCGCCTTACCTTGTGGCCCTTTGGACCTTCTTAGGTTGTATTTTAAGGGCATTTCTATGGATAGGCATCTAATTTTGTCAGCAGATTGCGTGAAGTTGACGAGGCTACCAATGCCCAGCTGGAACTCAGTAACGCACGATGCAAAGCAATAGCAAATCAACATCTTTGGGCGTTAAGTTTTCATTGTGTGATTTTGTGTGGTCTTTGCTCACTTTAGGGCAATTATCCATCTCATAAATACAGCAAATTTTCATCTCGAAAAACTATTCTAGTTGAGAATATTGAGAAGATTAATCTAAATGCCTATAGCCTCTGGTTGTCGAGTTATATTCGCACATCTAATATGTACGATGTGAAACACCTCATTTCTTGTGTCGATGATGATTCATCTGGGGATGAGGTCGGTTCCAATTGGACAACATATCATCTTATTTTTTGGGAGAATGATGGGGATGAGGCCACATAGCGTGCTTGGACAAAGTGGGATCACATTATGAACAACAAGTAGCAACAGTTCATTGTGGGGGTATTGGCCTTAGAAAGGTAAAAAACATGCAAAGTCTCTTTCAATCTGAGCAGAGAATGACTGTTGACAACAAAATTAGAAAAGAGTTTGATTGTAAAATTCACTATCAAATATGAATAATGAGTATGGCGTATGTTGTCGAAGCTCGCTCCAAAGATCTTTTAAACAGTGTTTTCCAAGCTAAGTTTCACATTACCTTTTTCTACTAAACAACCAATCAAACGGTTCCGACCCACAACCACTATATTTACCTTGGTTACTTCTCAATCTCAACCACAAGAGACAACATAACTTTTGTTAATTTGCAAGTCACAAAGGCACAAGAAAAATAATAAATAACGCACGAAAGGAGACCAAAACGAAGGAGGAAGTCACTGGTTTTTCCTTCCAGAGAGTAGCCAAATTTTTGTAGCAATATGGCATCTACGTTTTTCTCTGTCTACTCACAAATCACACACTCAACAATGTCCACAGTAAGAAACATATATACAGGAACAAGTCAGGCTTTAGTTGGATCAAGAAACATTAATCTGTTAAGCTACTTCCATCGGTCCGCATTGTTTTCAAGTCGAGCCTTTAGTCTTGATTATTACTAATTAATTCACCATTAGCCAATACCTGGGAAAATATATTTCACGTTTTAGAGTTAATAACCTTAATGGTCACTAAACTTTGCAAAAAAATTTCACAGAGTCATTGAACTTTAAAAATCAGCCCAAGTCATCATTGAATTTTGCAAAAGGTTTTCAAGGGGTCATTGAACTTTGTAAAAGGCTTCCACGTCACTAAACTTTAAAAATTATCTCATTCATTACTAAACTTTGCAAAAAAATTTAAGGGAATCACTAATTCAGTGATCCCTAGGAAACATTTTACAAAGTTCAGTGATCCATTGCTAATCTTTTACAAAGTTTATTAATGAATGAAATGATTTTTAAAGTTTAGTGATCCTATAATTTTTTTTTGCAAAGTTCAGTAACCATCTAGGTTATTAACCTCACGTTTTGCATCATTGCAAGGGATTTATTGGGTATCAAAATACAACAAATGTCTATCTTGATACCCAATCATCCTACAAGTAGTTACAACACAAAATTAATACTTGTATAATCAAGGTAACCAATAAAATTGGGATCACAAACCTTATATCATGTCACAGACACAAAACACATACCATAACTACTACATGCACTCACGAGGGTTAAGGTTAAAAAAATCCAAGTAGAAGCAGATAATCACATTAATCAATCAAGAGAAAATAAATACGCAATTAATATATAATATACGATAACACAAATCTTTTCAAACAACATGTTCACATAAAACAACTAACACCTATTAAGTCAATCAAAATGGTGAACATATATGCAACAAATGTATAAATGCTCCCATCAGAAGATCTCACCACACTTATCCTATCCCATATTATATAGGTCGTATTTCGAGAACATATATCTCTCATCGTTCACCATGCTCACTAGAATGAACATTGAATTCATGTTTAACTGACAAACCACAATATATCTTAAGTCTATAGGATAATCCTCTATCATTACCTCACTTCTCTCGACCTAAGTAAATAATGGATCTCCACCTAATAGAAATGCCTTTCTCACACTCTACCTAATTAGTGTTTTCACAAAAAAATGATTCTAATATTTAATCACCTCTCCACTCGTGAATTCAATTTCACATTCCAAATCTCTGGTACAAATCATCTATGTACCCCTAGACATCTATAATCCACATTATCAAAAGATACATACCACATTTACTGCTGATGCTTCCTATCTTACATGCATGCAAATACATTACACCGAGTAGTTAAATTGCTCTAGAATTCATGCAAATACACATATCAATACATTGAAATACAACATATAACCATATAATATAATTAAGCAATCACACATAAACAGAAAGGAATACACACAAATGCACACGCAGTAATTAGGTTTATTCTTAATAAACCTCACTAGGGTCAACGCTCGACCCAAAAGCAACATTCATCTCAACTTTCATCTTACGCTTCTACTTATCCTTCTTCTTGGGACAATTACTTATAAAGTATTCAGATTTATCACAGTTGTAACATCGCTTACCACTAGACTTGTCCAATGCTTGCCTTTCTTACCACCCTCACTAGAATCAATACTGTCTCAAGCTCTAACCAAACTCATTTGTTTAAACTTCACAACTCCTCATTATATGTACCTTACTACTCCTCTTATTGTCTCTTTCAACCTTAATCTCCATCTCTTTACTTGTAAGAAAATCAGTGACAATCACAAATGTTACGGTGTCCCTATCATATTTAACCACATTCTTAACCTCCCTACATGAGTCAAGCACAGAATTCAGCAAAATAATGGCCTTATATGTTTCAGACACATTTTTATCACAATTAACAATGTCTTGAACAAGATTATTAAAAAATCCAAATCATGATCGAGATCCTTTGAAGGATCCATTTTAAAACTGAAAAATCTTTCAAATAAGTACAATTTATTAGGAGTAGGCTTAAAAAATATAAGTCCTCCAACATTTTTCGATTTTTTTTTTTGTAGAATCAAGTTTTCTAACTTTTCTCAAAATAACGTTAGATAGGTGTAAAATAATTGAAGTATAGACAAGTTCATCGTATTCTTCTTTTTGTACTTCTATCAAATTTGTAGGAAATTTACTCATTTCATTGTTTGTTGCCAAATTGAAAAATTCCCTTTTCCATTGAAAATTCTGACTTCAAAATTTGAAGATATTTTGAAAAATATCAAAGTAACAAATATGTCACACAAAATAATTCTAAGGTCATAGTATACACCATTCTAAATTCTCAGGATCTCTAAAGATTTGAGATTTCAATATCAAGAGAATGATCAAACGGGTAGTCTAGGTATTCTAAGAAAATATTCAATACAACACGAAGGTATGTCAAAAAAAAATTCAATTTCTCACACAATCAAATCTCACATAGTGACTCAATGGCAATTTAAACAAAAGAAATTATCAACTTACACTTAAATTTAACACTTCAAATATGAGTAAATAATTCCTAAATTTCTAGCACAAATAGTGGTTACCCATACAGTAACCACAATCCTAATGTTAGCTCACACGATAATTTGTTGATATTGAAATTTAAACAGGATAAGCCAATATGCTAGACGGACCAATCTACAGTCCGTAAATAATGAGAAATGCGTATTTACCACTTTAGGGCCACATTATTCGCTTAAAATTCCAACAATTGCAGCAACCAATTAAGTAAAAAGAAACTTGAACAAGCAAGTGGCAAAACTGTTCAGGACCATAATTTTACCCCCAAAATAGAAATCGAACACCACCACAGTGTCCGCCATGCCTCCAAGAGGAATTTGTCTTCAGACACTGTCGTTGGAGTCAATGGTAATCGCCCTCGTGCACTCCATCGGAGCCCCCTGTGTCGCCATCAGTCTCACGCACGACCATGCGGAAGAACCTCCACCTACATGTGATGCCGTTGGTCTCTATTTCACCAAACTCCTTCTAATTTGGCCGAAAACTGATTTACAGGTACCACAACTTTGAAGAAACTAGGCAAATTCTGTGTTTCTGTTTTTGCTTCGATCCTACCAGTTTTTAGGTCGAATTTTTGTCAGATTTTTGAGTCAAATTCACCACTTTATACCAATTATTGCAGCAGCTCAAATCAAGATCTCTCTAAGTTTCTGCAACAGGATATGCACAATATGCTGCAAGAATAGTTAATTATTTCAACATAGCTAAGTTAAGAATGGACTTTAATTCATTTTTGACTTTTAAAAAAAAAAAATTAGATCCCATTTACCTTTTATAAAAATATATTAAGTACTGCTAAATAAATTTTAGATGATTATTATTTGAGAACAACTATTCTTCCATATTTTAGAGTGGTGATGTGTTAGTGGGAACATTGCAGCATTGTTAAATAAAGAAAAATACATTCCAACCAATCTAAATTAATGATGACCAAAACTTAAGGTAATAATATTACTTTTTATTCTCCCAATCTTTTAAAAGAGAAGAATATTAACAAGTTTCGAGTCATTTACGAATTTAAAAATTAAAAAAAATAAAAATCTAGCCAACGATTTTTTAAAACAGAGACAACGTTAAGCATGATGTCAAGATAGATTATACAAAAGATCCAATTTAAATGGACGCCACATTCCTCCACCTTCGTGGCAATCGAAGGTCCTTCCTTAATTGTCTTCTGCTTCTCAAACTACGTTAACTGCCACATCTCTAGTCTTTTGCTATTTTCTTCAATTTTTTCTTCCGCTTGTTATGGCCTCAAGAAAATAAGAGGAAAAAAATGATGGCCAAGTTCACCTTAAACCCAGACACCAAAATCTGTTATTATCCAGCTTACACAACCCAAAAAGCTTCAATCTTTAGAACAACTATCAAATCCCAATACTGGAATGGGTTACCCATTAATCCAAGCTTGAAAAGGTTCAGGGTTTTTTGCAGCATAAAAGAGAAAAAGACCGAAAATGCTGAAGAAAAACGTAGAATACTTGAAGGGCTTAAAGTGAATGATGAATTGGAGGAGAAGGTTGGTTTATTGGAGGCTGAGATTGGGGAAAAAGAAGTAGGCTTTGTTTGGAATCCGCCATGGAAGAATCTTCCTCAAAGATATAAGCTCATTGGAACTACATCTCTGGCCTTCATTATTTGCAATATGGATAAGGTAAATTTCTTGCCTTTTATTTTCGAAACTTTTTACTTTTAAAATTTCTAATTACCTTGTTTGATATATTCTTGCGAAATTGAACCATGGATTTGATTTTATACTGATATTCTAAGGGATTTTTTGATAATTGGGGTTGCAAGTTCCTTGCCAATTGAGGGTGGGCATGGTAAGTCGAAAGATGAAGGGAAAAGAAACTATGGTTGGCAAAGTGAAATTTTTTATAACTTCACCTATTGGGGTTGCAAGTTCCTTGCCTATCTTTTTTTGATTAAAGAGGAAATATGTTTAACTTCCATCTTATTTTCCATACATGTACCAGATAGAAGTAGGGTAATTA